GTTGAGCAGAAGATAAAATTGAGGTGGACACAGGAAGAAGGGCAGATTTGAAGAAGAGTTAAAAGTTTGTTGTGTACTTTCGGGAATTCTTATGAAGCCTTCCAGCAGGTTGTTGAAAGAAAAACATGGTGCTGCGCTCTAGAAGTTAGATGAAATTTTAAGTCACAATTTTAATAATTAAGATGACCAAAGGAAAGAGTGTATAAAATTAGAGAAGATGCTTAAACATGGAGCCTTGGGGAATGAACATAATCAGGAGCTAGCAAAGAAACCCCTGAAACTCATGAGAAGACACCAAAGGAGTTGTGTGCAGCATTCCCAGGATGGAGATGATGTGACTGGTTATTAGTGTCTCACTCTGCATGTGGAGGAAAGTGAAGCATTTTCATTTATAGAATGGGCTATGATAGAGAGCCCTCTAGTGGAAGGGAACTTGCTTGATTTTTTTTTTTTTTAAGGAGCCAAAAAATAACAGGCCCATGAAACAATTTAAATAAAGCTGGCATAAGGACCTTTTGTATCTCTGAATAAATGTGATTCCTTTCGTATTAGTTGTGGGTTTAGTCTTTCAATGTGTGGTGATTATGTGTAGGTCCCTCTTCTGCCCTGTGAAAGATGAAAAGAGGTTTGTGAAGAGCTAACAATAGTGAAAATGACATTTTCTTTCACAGGGAGAAAGAAGGAGAAGTTAAAGATTGTTTTTTTCTTTCTTCTCAAGGATAAGTACTAAAGATGATAATAGGGAAAGGCTGCAGAGATTACTTTAAACTCAGCTGAAGTTCCAGGGACATTGTTAATCCAGAAGGAGTCTGTCTATCGATGGGAATGCAGTTTGAGCTACAGGAATCTTTTTTTTTTTTAACATTTTATTAGGGGCTCACACAACTGTTATCCCAATCCATACACACATCAATTGTGTAAAGCGCATTTGTACATCGTTTCTCAAGACATTTTCTCTCCATTTAAACCCCCGACATTAGGTCCTCATTTTCCCCCTCCCTCCCCGCTCCCCCCTCCCGCATGAGCCCTTGATAGTTTATAAATGGGTATTTTGTCATATCTTGCCCTGTCCGACATCTCCCTTCATCCACTTTTCGGTTGCTGTCCCCCAGGGAGGAGGTCACACACAGTTCCATGTAATTGGTTCCCTCTTTCCTACCCATTCTTACGTAGCAAAAAGGAAGCTGCTCACTAAGAAAGTTCATTGAAGAAGCGTTATCGTACATCTTCCAGAAAGACTACATGCTTCCTTAATTTGGTTTTTCCGCTTATTGTTTGGAAACTGAGCTTAGATTTGTAATAAACTTTTATAGTTTCTCTTCATACAAAACGGCCAGACAGGAGAATATGCTGTCATCTTCCTCTCCCTTTGTTTTATGAACTTAACAATTGAGCATAGACAAAACTGTCAAACAGCTCGTTAGCATTGTTTAACTCAGACAATTGGAAAGAGGATGCAGACATTAATTATGTTGGACCTCTGTGTTTGGTAACATAGTATCATGATATATTTTTCACAGAAAAATAACTAGCATTCAAGGGGGAGCTAAAAATAAATCATGACTACATATTTGTAGAAAAGTTAAGAAAACACAGAGGTATACAATGTAGGATAAGTCTGCCACTATAAATCCCTTGTTACTCTTTGGTTATATGTATAAATTCTGTTACATACAATACAAAGCCATGTATATTTGTGAAAATATATAGTTGTAAAATACATACTCTACATTTATTTCATGGGCATCTTTCCATGTTTATTTTTATTCACTTTATTTTTAGAAACTATATAGTATTTTTAGAATGTTTTGTAAACTTTTAAATTTGAAACCTAACATATACCTAGGAAAATACCCATCATTGTTTCCAAATAAGCAGACTTAGAAAAGCATATCAAGATATCAAGATGAAGAACGATGCTGATCACCCCATAACCCTCAGTCATACTGCCTTTGAGTCATTGACCTCCTCCTCCTGAACCATGGATAATCAATATTTTCTGATTCTCATCTGTGTAGATTGTTGCGCATGTTTTTAAAGTTTATATTAAATTAAACTCATTTGTGTCTGGCTTCTTTCAGCTAACATTATTTTCATGAGATTCATCTATGCAGTTGCATATAGTCGTTCTTTTTCCATTGGGTCTAATATTCTATGGTAAAATGCATAAATATCTTCATTTATACATTTGAGTTGTGTAGCAGTGGGGACTATTATGAGTAATACTGGCATGAGCGTTGCTCTATCCTGCCTTTTGAGTATATTTTTATTGAGTGTGTATACACCTCTGTTGCCTATAGATGTAGGAGAGAAACTGCTGGGTCAGAGGTTTCATGTGTGTTCAACTTTAGTAGATACTGCCCAACAGTTTAACAAAGTGGTTGCAGGCTCAGAAGACAATGTATCTCTCATGTCAGCAGTATGAGAATTCTAGGTGCTCCGTTTCCTTATCAACACTTGGTACCTACCAGTGGCTTTTAAAAAATGTCAGTTTTTAAAATCTGCCCAGTATTTTATCACCTGAATAGATCATGATTCAACCCACAGCCATTTAGCTTTTTTCTTTCTTTCTCCTCTGCATTAGAGCCTAAGTCTAGGCATCTCTGATATTGATCAGGCTGAATGGAGAAAATATAATGTTGAAATTAGCAGAGCCAATATATTCTATTTTTTAACATGTTTTTCTCCAAGTCATTGTTTTCGAGCAGTATCGTACCAGTACGAGAATTCATATAAAATAGTTTTATTCTGTTGGCATGAAAATCTATTTTGATTTCTTCATAAATAGTTCTTTTCACTCTTGCTTAAAACAAATGTAAAATCTAGCATAATGTCTGGAACTAGACTTTGGTAAAAGCAGTACTAAGCACAGCTGACCTATATCTCCAGAACACTTTGCATTCTCTCTCAGCGCTGGCGCACAGTGCTCACTGCCAACACCTGCACCACATAGATCTTCAGTTCATTGGAAAGCTGCTGTGTAAAGTACTTGAGAATTTAATCACTTAGATTTTGGAAAACTGTTTGTAATTTACCCTTCGAGAGAGATGTTCCAGTCAGAGACTACTGCTTCGCAGGCTAGCTTTACTTTTAACATCCTCCTCCACTTCTTCAAATTTTTGTCTAACTTAGTTTTTGTCTTTTAAGTGTGTGAAAAATCAAAGGGTTTACTTTTAGGCCTCTTCATGATCACCATGCTTCCTGTTGTGTATCATAACTTTAAACAGGTGTTGGCACAGGTGGTGTTCAGTATTATCTAATTACCAGAAGTAATTCCTTGGGAGTGTTTAGATGTGATTAGGCCTCTGTAATAACTGAACGGTCTTTTGAAAGTTCCTCCTGGGCGTAGACGACAGTTTTGACTTTCCTGTTTCCTTTGCCTTTACTAGCTGTGTGTTGAATTACTCATTTTTGAAATAACTATAATGATCACAGTGAACAGGTGATCCCTATACTAGTAAGTTTAAGATACACATTTCCAGTTCATTGATGTCAAGAACTTCATGACAGGAGAATGCTTCTGCTATATAGTCTACTCATTTTTGAAAAGTCTATCCTTAGCTCTTGAGATTTCTTAAGTGGCCATATTTCAGAATAACTCTAAAAATATCCCAATTATTAGTTATATGTATTAAGGATAATACATCTAAAAATATCCAAATGAGTTAACAAATAAGCCAAAAGCCTTAGTGGAAATTCTTTCTTTCTTTCTTTTAAATCATTTTATTTGGAGTTCTTACAGGTATTATAACAATACATTATTCAATTAGATCAAGCAGTATTGTACAATTGCTGCCACCATGAGTTTCAGTACATTTTCTTTCTTCTTGCACTTTTTGATATCAGCTCCCCTTTGTCCCCTCCCTCCCCCACCCTACCCCTTGGGAACCCTTATATATTTATTTTTTTGCTTTATCTTACACTGTCCATGTATCCATTCACCTACCATTCTGTTTTTCGTTCCCCTCAAGTGGGGGTATACAGTAATCATTGCTCTCAGTCTCCTCATCCCCCTTCCCATACCCTCAGGGAATCATTACACCCATTGCTATTTCTGAAGGGCTTCCCTATCAATGATTTCATGCACCAAACTAGCTTGAATTATACAATTGCACATACACAGATCTAAAAAGATAAATGATGTGAAACCAATACCATAATAGGAAGGGGAGGAAATATTAAAGAATTAGAGGATAGTTATATGTTTCATCAGTGCTTTACTGTACCCTGGATATATCATCCTTTTCATGTGGCCTTTTCTGTGAGGGACTATCTAATTATCTTACAGATGGGTTTTGGGTCTCCACTTTGTTTATGCTCCTTCACGTTAATTTGATTGCTTGTTTTTGAACTTCTGATACCTATTCCTGTTGACATCTCATGATCACACAGCCTGGTATGCTTCTTCCATATGGGCTTTGTTTCTCTCTGCTAGATGGCTGCATGTTTAACTTCAAGCCTTTAAGACCCTAGATGCTATATCTTTTAATAGCTGGACACCACGAGCTTTCTTCACATTTGCTTATTACCTATGGGAGACATTTTCAATGACCTCTTCAGTCCCAATCCATAAATCTTGTTATCATTCTCAGTACTACGTAGCAAAACTTACTGAGTTCATTTTGTTTCTTTTCAGTTTCTGATGCTAAAAGTTCTAATATGCTAAAAGGTTAGGAAAGTTTTGGAGAAACATACACATAATCAACTTCTGACAAATAAATATTAGATAGGGTCTTTTGTTTATCTCCTATTCATGGATCTCGTTGGGAGATTAATTTTCAAGATCACTGTCAAGCCTTGGTTAATAAAAGAGTTTAATCTCTAATAAATCTATATCTGAGTGTATCTTGGCCAATTCAGTCAACAGTTTACTCAAGTTGCAGCTTCCTTTCAAATAACACAGAGAATAATAAAGCACTCTGTACCCAGTACCAACAGAACTGCTTTTTATTTCACTTTGACTTCAGTGCTTCCCAAACGCTGTTTCTCTTTCTACATAGGTATTAGCCAGAGTCGGATTTCCCATTGGCTATTGCAGCAGGGATCAGACTTGAGTGAACAGAAGAAGAGAGCATTTTACCGATGGTATCAACTTGAGAAGACAAACCCAGGTAAATACCACTTCTTCTTTCTCTTTCTTTTAGAAAAAGAAAAAATTTTCATTGCAAACAAGACAAGTATAATTATTTTATTGAATTCTTCTGCTATAGTTGTATACACTGTACCTTTCTCTTATGCAAAAGATTACTACTATAAAGCCTAATCCCTGATTATAGTAATATTTATCCTAGTGATTGATGTTCTCTTGTCGTTTTCATACTTCCCTCCAGGGCACCTCTTTGCTTCCAGGCTTTGTTGTATTTCTAGCCATAGCTTGTGAGAAATCAGCGGGTAATCTTTTCTACAATTCTAGGTTCGTGCCAAAGATTCCCTATCTTTTTATTTGTAACTCTTGGCTTTAATTAGAAAATAGAAATGTAAGGTTTTTATTAACTCATGCTTTATGATATCTCATAATGTCTGCTAATGATTTTCTTACTCAATTGAATGTGTCTTAGACCTTAAGGTAAAGCTGCCATGATGACTTTCAGGAAGAAGAGATTGGATAATAGAATGAGATCTTAAGAAAAAAAAGATCATGAAAGCTTAAGTGTTTAAAGTTATCAGAAATAGGCAAGACTTATTGTGAGATGGTTTTGTTTTCTCTCCTTTTTAAAAAAAATCATTTTAGTGGGGGCTCTTACAACTCTTATCACAATCCATACATGCATACATTGTGTCAAGCACATTTGTACATTTGTTGCCATCATCATCATTTTCAAAACAATCTCTACTTGAGCCCTTGGTATCAGCTCCTCATTTTCCCTCCTCCTTCCCCCTGCTTCACAAACCCTTGATAATACATAAATTATTATTATTTTGTCATGTCTTCAATTGTCCAACATCTCCCTTCACCCACTTTTCTATTGTCGTCCCCCAGGGAGGGGGTTATATGTAGATCCTTGTAATCAGTTTCCTCTTTCTAACCCACCTTTCCTCCACCCTCCCGTTATCGCCACTCTCACCACTGGTCCTGAGGGGTTCATCTGTCCTGGATTCCCTGTGTTTCCAGTTCCTATCTGTACATCCTCTGGTATGGCAGGATTTGTAAGATAGAATTGGGTCATGATAGTGGGGGTGGGGGGGAAGCATTAAAGAACTAGTTGTATGTTTCATCATTGCTACTCTCTTCTCCTCCCCATGACCCTCCTGTCAGGTGATGTCCAGTTGCCTACAGATGGGCTTTGTGTCCCCACTCCGCACTCCCCCTCACTCACAATGATAATGATTTTTTATTCTTTGATGCCTGATACCTGATTGCATCGACACCTCATGATCACACAAGCTGGTGTGCTTCTTCCATGTGGGCTTTGCTGCTTCACAGCTAGATGGCCACTTGTTTATCTTCAAAACTTTAATACCCCAGATGCTATATCTTTTGATAGTCAGGCACCATCAGCTTTCTTCACCATATTTGCTTATGCACCCGCTTTGTCTTCAGTCATCATGTTGGAAAGGTGAGCATCATGGAATGCCAGTTTAATAGAACATAGTGTTCTTGCATTGAGGGAGTACTTGAGTGGAGGCCCTATGTCCATCTGCTACCTTAATACTAAACCTATAATTATATGCACATAGTTCTATTTCCCCATCATATATAAATATATTTACATATGTACATGCCTATATTTAGACCTCTATAAATGCCCTTTGCCTCCTAGTTCTTTCCTCTATTTCCTTTGACTTTCCTCTTGTCCCACTGTCATGCTCAGCCTTCATTTGGGTTTCAGTAATTCCTCTCAGTTACATTACCCTTGATCAAGCCCTACCAGGTTCAGGCACCCTCCTCTCCACCGATTTTGTATCACTTGTTGGTCGCTTGTCCCTAGGTTTGTCAACACCACTTCCTTTCCCCCACCTCTCCCTTTCCTATGTTCCCCCTGGAGTCATAGGTCCCATTGTTTTCTCCTCCAGATTGTCTATCCTGCCTATCTTATCTAGATAGACCTGCAGAATTAATAATATGCACAAAACAAGACAGAGCAAAACAAAGCAACAAAAGAAAACAACCAAAAAACAATGACAAAAAAGGAAAGCCTGTAAATAGTTCAAGGTCTGTTTGTTGATCTTTAGGAGTGTTTTCCGGTCAAGTCTGATGGGGTACCACACCCTGGCCCCAAAGTCTATTTTTGGCATTCCTTCAGGACTTCATTGCTCTGTTCCCCTTGCTGTTCTGTGTTTTGCATTGGTGTGGTGGGGTCAGATCGGGAGCAATTCCCACACTGTGTCTCCAGTGTTTTACCCTGTAGGGCTATGGGTCAGTGAAGGATGTCGTGTCTCCTAGTGGGGCTAGCCACGTGGTCCTCTCTGCATTGGCTCCTCTGAGCAGGGATATTGTCCTCAAGGCTTGGTGGGCCAGGATATACTCCACGTGAGATGGTTTTATTGGTACATAAAGGAATATCAGAAGTAAATTATTATAATTATGCAATGCACAGATTGGGTGCAGTGAGCCAGGCCTCGTTTTAATCATATAATACAAGGCAAGGGTGGGGGGTTGCTTAAAACATGATGGAAACCTTTGCTTACAGATGAATTTATTTTGAATAAATATTATTAATATTATTACTTTACTTAATATTGTCTCTAGGGAAAATGTTATAGAGACTACTTTTTTGTTTTATTGTCTGATGAGATCCTCCACCCCACCCTCCAAAGATTACATTCTCAGTCTGAAAAGCATTGGGGGTGGGGGTGGGGGGGACTAACAACCAATAAATGGTTTCAACCTTTCTGCAGAGAATATTTTTATTTTGAAAATTTTCAGATATTCTCCATCCCATTTTTTTTAATTTGCAGATATACTGAAAAGTTGAAAGATTAATGCAATGAAACCTAATTATTCCCTTCTTTGATATAATGATTAATAGCATTTTCTTAAATTAGCTTTTTGTCTCTATAAAATAAATGTTTAAATATTTTTTCTTTATTTAAAAAAAAATCATTTTATTGGGGGTGCTTATAGCTCTCATCACAATCTATACATACATCTATTGTGTCTAAGTTTTAAAAGTAAGATATAAATCATCATGGGTTTTGCTTCGGCACTCATCTCTTCAGAATAAGGACACGTGTCTGTGTCATTAAAGTCTTGTTACTACAATTGAGAGAAATTTAAAACTAATTACACTTCTCTATCTACGAGGGGGTAGCCCCCATAAAAACGGAATATCTTTTTCAAAGCTATGTATTAAAATTTTTCTTTTACAAAACAACCTTATCACCTTCAAAGTACCCTCCATTACACTTAATACATTTGTCACTTCCATGACTCCATTCTTGGAAAATTTTTCAAACTCATCTGTTGGAATGGCTGACAGCACTTCCCTTGATTATTTCTTCACCTCTTCTATGTCCTCAAACTGCAGTCCTTTCATATTCCTCTTCATTTGAGGGAACAAAAAGAAGTCACACCGAGCAAGGTCAGGTGAGTAAGGTGTGTGGGACAAGAGAGGCATGCTGGGTTTTTTGCCCAAAACTGGTACACTGAGATGACTGCGTGAGCAAGTGCATTGTTGTGGTGGCAAAACCAGTCCCCCATCTGCCACCAATCAAGACTATGTTGTTGCATACTCTTACGCAATCTTTTCAGAACCTCTAAATAGAAAGCTTGATCAACAGTCTGACTGGTGGAAGGAATTCCAAATGCACTATCCCTCTCACATCAAAAAAATAAATCAGCATCATCTTAATCTTTTATTTCACTTGATGTGCTTTTTGGGGGTGAGGTGACAAATGGCATCTTCCACTGGCTTGACTGATGTTTGGCTTCGGGGTCATAAGAATAGTTCCATGTCTCCTCACCAGTAATGACCTTGGCAGAAAAGTCTGGGTCACTTTGGAGATGGTCTTTGAAAGCTCACATGTTTCCATTTGAAGCTCTTTTTCCTGGCTAGTCATAACCAGAGGCACAAATTTTTCAGCGGCCCTTCTCATTCCCAACTCTTCCATTAAAATTCACTGAACTGAACTCCAAGATAGTCCAGATAACTTCCCCAGCTCTTCAGTGGTCAATTGTTGGTCTTTGGGCCCAAGTGGACAAAATTTGTTGACATTTTCATGCATTTGGGAAGTTGACAGATGTCCAGAACAAGGTTTGTCATCAATCAACATTTCACCATTTTTTGAAATGAGAAAACCATTTGTGCACTTGAGTTTTTCCCATTGTGCTGTCCATGTAAGCTGTGTGTGACTTCCCAATAGTTTCTGTGGCATTTTTCTCCAGCAGGAAACGAAATTTCACAGCTGTGTGCTGTTCTCTTAAATAGGCCAAATCACAAAACCGAGGTTCACATGAAATGCTTTTACAAAAAAATTCACTGTGGCCAGAGAGAACCTTCCCAGGTGATACCAACTGGGTGCACTAACTCAGAGCGAGTTGCTGGATGCTCGCCAAGTGGGAAAAATGTGTGCTGTGAAAACTTCTCCTGGAGGAGCTTTTTCCCGGTATTTTTGGATTCTTAAGTCTCTTTTTACCTATTGAAACTTTTTTGTGACAAAATCTTTTCAAAGCTTCTTAATCGACAACTGTCTTAAAGAATGTTCCACTTCATTTGTGTATCTATTACCTCTTGGTATCAATGAATTTCTTTTTTATTCCTGTACTTTTTGTATACTAGAAGATAGGATTTATGCTTACTTGATTAGGAGTCCTGGAGGCACTGTGGGTTAAGTATCAGGCTGCGAATTGGCGAGGTTGGTAGTTCACACCCACCAACCACTCTGTGAAAGAAAAAGAAGGCTTTCTGCCCCTGTAAAGATTTAGTTTCAGAAACAAAGAAGTTCTCTATGAGTTGGGATCTACTCAACAGCAGGGAGTTTTTTTTATTGTTAATTTTTATTAGAATCAGATTAAACATTTTTAGCAAGAATATTACATAGACTGTATAAAGGGGTAGGCACTAATTACTGTATTTACCTAACTGTATCAAAGATAAAATGAATTAATGAATAGATATATGATGAAATAAATATAGTAAAACAGTAGGTGATAGTAGTAAAATGTCACTAT